CCTGCCTGCCTGCCTGCCTGCCTGCCTGCCTGCCTTCCGCATATATAATTTGAATTAATTTAACGTTGTTTGTGGATATAATTTTACAGTTATACAACAGTCACATCTAATACCATGTCCCATCTTTCTTGCTTAATTATCAGCTGAACTAATTTCAATGCAAGTCAAATATCATGGACTGTACAAACATTTTTAATCATTCTGTTTTATGGTAGATGGTAATGCCAGACCTGGGATGTCAATGCAGACACATACAGTACAAATCCACTATTAACATTAGGTTCCACAGATTCTTACATGACAAAATTTTGAAAGAAGTAAAACATCAATTTCATTCTAGAATCATTTGCAGAGTTCTATAAATCCATCTCTAATTTGTACAGGAGATCCATTTACTACTTCCCACTGGTAGTTATAAATTCAACGTTTTCAGGAGTGACATTGTAAGATCAAATATGTTCAGTCAGTTATATGGCCAGAGGTCAAAAGAGTGATTATAGACATGCCCAAAGGATTCTACATGCTCGTGTACTACTTCTCTTTAAGCTACAGACACCCATATTATGTTATGACATTCATTCATTCATTCATTCATTCATTCATTCATTCATTCATTCATTCACTTACTTACTTATTTCAATTTCAAAAGTTTTTTCCCTTGTAGTTCAGGATAGCAATACAATCAGGGGGAAAAATAACCTCAAGTGCTCCCGAATGTATAAAAATTAAATGTCTTGGTTTTTTTTATTCCTGTCCATGATTTCATAGCAACCTTCAATGGTGCTACTTGTAAAAGAAAAAGAAAAAATGTCAAAATCAGTTTTGGCACAGGATCCTCGTTATTATGTAGTGCAATCATAAATTATGATCACATCTGCCTGCCTCATCAGGTCTGGCAGAGAACGCATGCTGCAGGTCCCGTCTGCCAGAGAATTATATTTGGCGGGTCCCAGGAATCTTCTCCCCCCCCCCGCGAAATGAGATTAGCTCCATCCCTCTCAACATTCTGCAAGTCCCTCAAGACCTGGCTACATGATCAGGCCTGGGGGTCTCAGGGGACCGGGGAGATATTGTGATGGCTCCCTTATCACGATTAATAACATCCTCTCTGTTTTGTGTGCTTTTTATTATTATTTTTAAATTGTGACTGTTTTTATATATTTATTGTTTTTAGTTAAGTGCTGTACCCTGCCCAGAGTCACTTTTATGTGAGATAGGTGGCTATATAAATATGATAAATAATTTAAATAAATAAATAAAAATGTTAGCTCATTTAGTAGTTGCTGGATAGGGTTTTTGTTCATCATTCCATCTTGTTATGTAAATTTGTCACTACTAGTAAGGAAGATTGATAAAGATATCAGTTCAAGCTAAAGCTTGTAAAAAATCAGAATAAAATCCATATAGCACATTTTTGTTTCATAACAAAATGCAAAAGCATTTAGGTCAATTAGCCATGTGAAAGCAACATTTATCCATGCTGAATACATTATGCAAGATTTTATGGCACAACAGGAATACTGTTGTCAATGCTATGCTAAAGTAGTATGTTTTATATTGTATATTGGTTGAAATCCAAAAGCTATTTTCAGCATGCCCAGCAGGAAGATGATCCCTTTTTAAATTGAAGCTCTATGTGTTTAAGCAGTAAGATGTTTTTGAAATCCTAGTCAGTTTCAAAAGCTATTTTGAATTAGGGATTTTATTGTGAGAAACATGCACGTCTTTTTCACAGAAGCAAGAGGATAAATTGCATAAGGCTGGTCTCTTTATAGTGAAGATCACACAGCTCAGTTATTATTTCCTTTATATAGCTCACTCTAGCAAAATAGGACTCTGAACCTTGCTGATGTACCCTTAAACTATGCTGTAGCTACATATGCACCAGTTCGCATGTGGGGAGCTGAAGAACAAGCATACCATAAAACCAAGAGTGAGATTTTCAGCTGCTAAGTCATTATTCTAACACTCAATACTTTTGCCAATTTATCTGGGACAAACTACCATATAACTTAGTGGAACTTCCTTTTTCAAAGACAGATACAGCATTCTGATGAAAGAAGTACCTTCTATTTCAATTTTGGTACTGAAACTGACATCTGAAAAGGTCCTTAATATAAAACTTCAGTGTAGTGGTTAAGGTGTTGGACTAGAAACTGGGAGACTGAATTCTAGTTCTCCCTTCATGTATACTGCTTTAAGTTATACAAAATAAGGATAGATATACAGTAAATAAAAATAAAAACCAATTTCCATTAGCCTTCCTCAGTGATATCATTAAATATTTAAAACAGTTTTCTCCTATTTGCAGGTGTTATTGGACCTCTGTATTTATTACTTCAACATTAAGGACCTAAAAAGTTTGGATAAAGCAAATTATGACTATGGAATATGGCTATTCTCAGGTTCTAGAAAATAACAAAATAATAGTAAATTAGAGGGGTTTCTTGTTGTTTAGGACTGAATGGGGAAGTTACTAGGACTATATAAGGGAATGTTAGTGTGGGTGGGAAATATGAGTGATACAAAAGTGCTTTCCATTATCTTTGGGAAGGGATGATGGTATATGATAATACTATTGAGATTTTTATATGCACATAGATGACAAAAACACAGAGATATTTAGGATTGGACATTAATGGCAGTGGCAGAGACAGTGACATAGTGTACTGAAATTGAAAAACGGGGGGATTAGCTTTGCTTCTGTGTGGACATCGCTTTTGTTTTTTCTTTTTTGCTTGGGATTAAAAAAAGAAAGAAAATAATTTACTGATAATGCTTATTCCACATAGATAGACAGATATTCCAAAAATGTAACAGTTTGTGCTTATGTACTTCTACCTAATCCACTCAGGATTATAACATTTTCGTTAGCAATTAAAATTCACAAATATGGCCATGCTTAGATCCTGGAGAGCTCACCCATACTTAATGTTGCACCTCACTGCCATCACTAAAGAATCCACTTAAATTGTTCACTGCAGTAATAAAGTTTAGCACACCAGTATTTTGATTTAACAATATTCTATTATTCTTTTCACAGGAAGTTTTACTAAACCCTAGTAAAAGGGATCTGAGTCAGCTATTAACTGAGGGATATAGTAAATAATTATCATGACCAAAGTTTGTTATTAATCAATAAGCCAAAT